TTTTAATGTGCCTATCTAAGCAATTCTGTGGGCTGTAACAATGGAAACTTGATCGCCCGTTGTGTAAGAACAAATTGATTTACCTACACAACTGATTCTGTTCTCCAGTTAGTTTAGCCGTTTTGAACTTAAATCAGATGAAGCTAGTGCTTTTGGCTAAACGCTACTGAATGCTACTTGTATGCAGTAGAGAACTAGAGGATTACATGATTTTCAGCCTTTTAGGATGGCAAATACATGTATAATTGTTTACATACTTAAGAGGAAAAGTTGAGTAAATTTCATGTCGTATAGTGGCTCTACTTTATGTAGCCTGTATTAATGTGAAATATTTACCTGAATATTCAATAAAAGGCAAACAGTATTTATAGGTTGTGTGTGAGAATTTTGGAAGAGGATGCATATTGTCATTGGTAGCTGCCACGTCCAGGAGTTTTACCTCTATAGGATCACTGAATTAGCGAGTGGATGCGGTTGGGAAAGGGGGAGCCAGGGCTTTGAGCTGCAGTCACCTGCGAGGCAGAGCCCGAGCGCTTCCCCCGCTGGTTGTTAACCCCTTTATTTTCTGTGAGCATGGTTGTGTGTTTTGGGGCTTTTGTTTTCTGTTTGCTTGTTTGTTTTCTCTTTTTCTTCTGGATCAGTTCTGCAACTTTTAGCACTCTCTTTACAGGTGGGTTGTCTGAAATACCAGGTATTGTTCAGGGGCTGTGGAAATAAGTGCTGACTTGGCACATTGGCAAACAATGACATCTTAATTTGCAGGTGGCAAATAGATAAATTTATCCTAGATAAATGCAGGGTTTCTTCACTGATTCTCTGTGACCAACTGCCCAGGAGCAGATATTAGGAGAGCAGAGACCACTTCCCAGCAGAGAATAATGTACTCAATTTTAAGCATCTTTTAACCCTTTAAATCTGGTAAGAGCTTCTCAAGCTGTTTCTGTGAGGAAGAAGAGGGTTTTGCCTATTGTTTAAGATGCAGGTTCGTGGTCCACGCCGGCACTACTGATACTGAGTCTAGTATCGCTGTGCTTGGGAAGCTTTCCATTTCTTTGCATTAAAAGCATGCTTATTTCTACTTTTGCTCAGCACTACTGCAGTAACCACACTGAGTATTTGGTCCGTTTCTCAAGCAGGTAACTCCAGTGCACAAAGTGTCCAATGTAATGGGATGCTTTCAGTGGTCCCTCAGACCAGAGAGCAGATGGAGCCTTCCCCACCTTCCTTCCTCCTCTCCTGACCATTTCTTATATGCAACCGCAGAGTTTCCCCAGGAAAAGCAAGGACGGAGGAGCACTCAAAAGAGAGGATTCAGTGATAACTTGCATGGAGTGAACTCTTGAAATAATGTAATGGCATGGTTGTCCCAGTTACTCCTGACTATTCAGGAGTGCTCAAACTGTCGAGTGCACAAGTAATATCTGCGTACCGTAGGCAAATAAACCTCAGCAACAGTACTGGATTCAGACCTTCTACCTAGTGTCCAAAATGGAAATTCAAACAACAAAAAAAAGTTGTGCTCTTACTGCCCTCCTGCTAACTGCAAATGCCGAAAGAGAAACACTTGTGTTAACAGTAATTGTATTAAAAGCAAATGGTGAAGGCAAAAAGAATGGTATTGTAATGTAAGAGCTTCTCGGTGCAGCGCGGTGCCCGTGCTGTGAGCGGGGCTGCTTTCTCGTGCGTGGTGCCCAGGGCCGGGGCTCTCTTGCATTAGCACTGGGCTGGCTGTGCCGCGAGCTGCTGCTGGCCGGGGCAGGGGCCAGGGCCAGGACAGGCACAGGGGTGTCCCGGGCTGGCTGGGCGCTGTAGGCGCTGGACCCGTCTCGCTGCTGGCCTCGGCTCACACGTGTCGCGGCGGAGGGGCTGTTCCCCCTGCCCGGGGGCGGGCGGAGCCCGGCTGGGCCGGGCGGGAGCGCGGGGCGGCGCCGGGGGCCGCACA